TTGTTTTGGAGAGGGCCGGTCGCCCCCCGCTGTCCCTCGGGACACGGGACTCATTCCTGGTAGAATTTCGCGACATCATAGTCTCGAGTGACGGGGCGCGCAGTCTCTGCTGCAGCCCACCATTGCGTCTCCCCGACTGGAAGGACCGTCTGTCACAGCTCAGGGGTCAGATCTGGCATCCCGACCCTCACGCCTTCAGCTGCGGGGCCCAACCCGCTGTTGAGCATTTTCACGGCATCTGTCAGCATCAGATCACCATCCACTCGAGCGCAGTATGAATGCAAATGGAAGCTCTTCTCCCACTGGTGTTTGGGTAAGGCTGAGAACCCGGGGCATTGCTCTGTGGCCACCATTCTAGAGTTCCTGCAGTCCCTTCTCGATACTGGACGTTCTTACTCCACTTTGAAGGTTTATATGGCTGCTAGTTCTGCCCGACATGTTGGAGTAGACGGCGCCACGGTGGGGCGCCACAGGTTGGTGTCCCTCTTCCTGAGAGGGGCTTTACGGCAGCGTCCCCCTAGTACCCCGAGGGCTCCGGCTTGGGACCTGCCCCTAGTGCTGGATGCCCTATCATCTCCTCCCTTCAAGCCCCTGGCCCAGGTGGGGCTTAAGTGGCTGTCCTTGAAGGCGGCATTTCTGCTTGCTATAACCTCAGGGAAGCGAGTTGGAGAGCTACAATCATCTGCGTGAGTGATACATGCCTGAGGTGGAACCCCGATGTCTCGGGTGTTGCCCTCTGGCCGAATGTGGCGTTCCTGCCCAAAGTGCTTCCACTAGCCCACTCCAATCGGCCTGTCCAGCTGGCACGCTTTAACTTTCCACAGGAGAGTGGCACGCCTGAGTTGCTGTGCCCTGTGCGTGCCCTAAGGGCGTATATTGATGCTACGGCCTGTATACGGCGGTCAAAGCAGCTCTTCATTTGCCATGGCGGCACTAGGAAGTGTTGTGCTCTCTCTAAACAGCGGCTGTCTCACTCGGTTGTCGATTCCATCTCGCATTCCTATGGGGCCAGTGGCCGCCCCCCACCATCAGGGGTGAGATGCCACTCTACGAGGAGCATCTCAACATCTTGGGCTGCCCTGAGAGGGGTGCCCTTGGGGACCATCTGCGCCACGGCGTCGTGGGCGTCTTCCGGCACATTCTCCAGGTTTTACCGGGTCAATGTCGCCACTCCCCACCATTTGGGCGTGGTCCTGTGGCTGAGCTCCGCTGCTTCCAGCTAGGTAAGTAAGTGCTTGGATTCTTCATGACATTGTTGATATAACTCATCCAGTGCTAAAGCACCGCCTCTGGCGGTCAGTAGGGACGAAATAGAACAATAGTTATGTCTGTAACTACGGTTCTATGAGTCCCGGATGACCGCCAGAGTATCCTGTCACTCAGGATTCTTGTGTGCTCGCGAGAAGATTTTGGGAACAGATCCTCTCATGAAACCGGCTGATATAGCCGGTGTCACGTGGGTCACAGGTGACTTTGTTGTTATTGGTACTCGAGCCGCGCATGCGCGCGATGGACCTATCCAGTGCTAAAGCACTGCCTCTGGGGGTCTTCCGGGACTCATAGAACCGTAGTTACAGACGTAACTCGATTTATTGCCAAAAAGCGTTATTACGACGAAATCTACCAAACACAAATGTCCTTACTTTTTGTGTTAAGTATATATAAATGGTCCAGGGCATGTTAAGTTAATTGATGAGCTCCCAATCACAACAGAACTCGACTGACTCCAAAAAAGTAGGCTACACCATGTTTTTTGTTTTTTTTGTCTTTTTTAATATTGCAAAAGACAACAATCCAACATTCTTGAATACAATAAAATAAATGAAAAAAACTATTGTGTTCCATCAGTGCTAGTGATAGACATGCAGCTTATTATTGGTTTAACTTTTTATACATTTTTAAAACGACATCAGACAGGTTTAGTTGGTTTCCTTTCCATATCTGCAAGACACGGGTAAAACAACCGCCTAAACCAAATCCAGCAACGTTAAATATTAGACATTTGTTAGCTGCTACAAAGTCATGTTCTGCCAGCCATGCTTGTCCCTGAGGCATTATATATTTGCTTTTCAATAACACAATCATTTATCACTTGCATTACTTTTATCCAAACTACTACTTTTGAACAGAAGACTCGCTACAACCTAGAATACTGTATTTTCAGGTATTTTTTGTTGTTGTTTTTGCATCAAGTATTGACATGATTAATTCCTTTCACAGATTGTTCCGTTAAGGATTTTGTCAGCTGTGTGCACAACCACTAGATGGGGACATCCTATTTCACAAATAAGCCTAGAGTTTGGAGCAGGAAAATGTTGGAATCTAGAGGTACTATCATTTTTACAGCATCAATTAAAGGCACGTAATTTGATTATTTGACATTCATTTGGATCGACCGATCTTATCCATTAACAGCTTAACAAGTTGTACTGTTGTACCCCTGTCCTATATATCTACCAAGAGCTATTACAGTTTCTGATCCTGTGATTTGAAAATAGGTAATGTGAGGTGGGCCTGCTCTTGAGCAACATTTGGAGAACAGGTCCCCCCCCCCCCCCCTTTAGTTGGAAGCAGGCAATAAGATTTCCACAGGTTCATAGTCACATAGGTGTTGAATTACATTAAAAAAAAAAGTGGTGTCAATAGATTTAACATTTGAATCATTATAATCTGTCATTAATAATCATACAAATACAATACTTGTATAGTATTATGGGGTAGATTAAAAAAAAATACATAAAAATCATGTTTAAAAAAAAAAAAAGACGTGACAAATTTGTAAAATACATCAGTGGATTTTTCACTCTATAACAACATCTCAGTTTAGTTTTGACAATGAACTTTGACGATTTTCCCACACGAAGCTAAAGCATGGACCGCTGTGATCGCCCTCTGTATGATGTTTGCTCCACAGGGCATTATCTCTGCTGCAAGCTCCATCTGTTCCCACAGTGGTGAACGCGTCCGCTCCCTCACGTCTCCTGTGCAACTTTTTAAAACCGACTTGCGCTTGCTTCAGTAAAATACCTTTCCTCAGTTTTCACCACACTAATAGCAAACGAGTGCTTCATCTAAAACATGTAGCTTGTGCCGATTGCATTGAATTGTAATGTTTGTGTTTTTCTTAACGTTTGAAGTTTTCCAGAATTTTCCTGAGCGTTAATGTTGACAGCCCTAATAAAAACGTGTTAAAGGCACAGGTAAATCCATCTTAACAATAGAAGCAAAACAGTGTATCCCTTTGGGTCACGCCCCAGTCAGTTTCTTATATTCAGAACATCCTGGTGTATAGGATGACTGGTGTTTTTCAGGCCAGGTGCCATATTCACAACATTTGAGCTTGAATATATGAATTGTCTTGATATTCTCAGTCAGGCAAGTCCTAGTATTAGCACTCTTAAAACAAATGCTAATTTACAGAATTGTAGTCTTAACTCACGTCATTGCAAGAAATCCAGAAAAGGTGGCAGATTTCTTCTCATAATTTGAAATACTTCTGCAGGTGATGGCACTTAAAGTCTTTAAGTGTTACCTTTTTGGCAGCAGGATGGTCTTTGGTTATGTTACCATCCTTACACTCGAAATGTTCGATCCCCATGACTCTACAACCTGCTAAAGTGTCTTTGTGTGACATGTGGCCCCTATCAGCCCAAGATGGCATGACCACAACTTCCCTTTCTGTGTGCTAGTCCCCCCCCTTCCTTGGTGGGCCAGGGTCATTGTCGTGTCATGGTTACTGGCTATATTGGCTGACAGCCGGGATCCTGCCTGCTATCAGCCTTATTCAACCCAGTAGCTTCCAGAAGGATTGTGCCTAGGTTTTTAGCTAGCGTTTTAAAGGACTGGTCCCAGATCATCTACTATCGCTTGTTTCCATTATTCAGAAGCCTAGACTCTCCTCAGAGTCGTTGACAATGGTTGAATTCCAGTGTATTCCAGTGTATAAAATGTTGGAGAATGGAGATCAACATATTTTCTTTTCACCGTAAACATCACTCTGAAACAACCTCCTTCAAATAACTCTGACTTCCTCTTTCTACCAATCCACCATTGTTCCTGCTTTTTTTGTGGTTATATAACACTCCCGTTAATGTCCAGAATGTCTTGATTTTCCACCTCCTCACTTTTTCTTGTCCCTCTGTTTCTTGCTGGGTTTTGTCCGTGAAGCTATGGTGACACTACCGTTGGACTCGAACTGAAGCAGGTACTCCATAGAGTTTAACGGCATCCCCTCATCGTCCCTCAGCGTGGAAAGGACATCCTGGTACAACGTGCTCAGCCGGCGTTTCATTTCCTGCAGGTTCCTCATGGCTTCCTGTTTCTCTCGGAGCAGCCGTGAACGGTAGCGCCTCAAACCTGACACGTTGTCTTTTAGTTCCAGCAGCACATCCAGTCTCCTCTTCCTACAGTTCTGGGCAGCGATCTTGTTCTTTCCGCGGCGTCGGATGTCCCGGACGAGTATGAGCTGCTCCTCGCTGAGTTGGTAATTGGCCAGAAGGTCATTGAACTCCTCCACAGGCAGATTAACAATCAGTTCGTTGGAGAAGGGGAGCTTTCCGACTCGTGCTCGCCGTTCATCCCGGCTCCACATTCTGCTCTCAGTAATGCGTCTGGAAGAGGAGCGATGGTAAGGCTTGGCGTTGTCGTGTCGCGAGGAGGACTTGGTGTGCTTGGTGGGCATCTTTCCAAGGGACGGAGAAGAGTCGGAAGACAATGGCTGGTTGTACGTGTGATCATGGCCGATATTCTCCAGAAAAAAGCCATTGTAAAGCTTGTGATCCCCAAAGGTGGGAAGAAAGGGATTCTTAAAATCTTCAGGGTAACCTCCTCCTACTGCCCCCATCTCTTCCTCTTCTAGATCCTCCTGCTTTATGGTGACCTCCATTTCCATTTCTGAACCAACTGAATCTTCTTCACCTTCTTCGTCTCCCTCTTCAGAGAAGGGACTTTCAACAGCCGACACACAAGAGGAAGACGAGGTTGAGGAAGAGGAATAAGAGGAGGCTTCAGAAGCACATTGAGAAGCAGGGCTGTGGCTAAAGTCCAGAGAAAGGCCAGAATCTGAGCCTTCCTCCTCCTCTTCATCTAGGAGGAGAAAACAAGGTAAGTTCTACAGTTTTATTCAGCTTTATTTTGCTCTTATAAAAAGATACATTCTAGCATATTCAGTCAGCAGTGGTTACTTTAGAAAAAGGTATATTGACTTCCTGTTTATTTACCTTTCAGATGTATTGTTGATTGACCCTGATCTTCTGTAGCCGGTGTTACAGAGTTTGAGTCTTCATCCTTTTCGACCGTGTCCTGTTCAGCCATTCTACTGTCAAGGAAACCCTCCTCTTTCAGTCTGGTTGCCATCTCAGGACTGAATCCATCCTCCAGAGCCAGGTCCAGCAGTCTCATCTCATCCAAGATGGCCGCATCCTCTAAGAAGTCACTGAGTGGGCTAAGGAGACCATCTTCATTGGCAATATTCTCCTCTTCGTCAACCAGAAAGACACTGGAGGGAGAGGTCAGCAGGTCTTCAATCATACCATTTCCCTCAGAAGATGGGGTCAACCTGGAAAGTGGCAAGTCACGTGAATGAAAAGTGGCATCAAAGCTAGGCCGGCTCTCAGAGGAGGGGCATGGACCGCCTCCTATGGTATCGTCAAGACCTTGTGTTAGCAGATTCATGTTGAAGGTAGTTGTGCCATCTTCTGTATTTAGGCCCATACCGAAGTCTTCTGAAGGATCTTTAGCAAGCAGGTGTGTGTGGTTTGGAAGACCTTGTGAGGGATTCACGTTAGAGCTTGTCAAAGTTCCCCTTGTGTTGACGGCAGAACTATGGTCATCCAACTCCGCACTAGGAGTGAGGGCGAGCAGGGCTGGAGACCGCAACAAACCTACAGACAAAGAACGGGCATTTTTACTGAATGTTGAAGAATTGTAGGATATGCAACAAAGCCTTTTGTGGTTTTATGACTTTTTTGGACCTTATTTAAAAATGTTAAAGTCTAAGATGTCTACATTGTTATTTATATCGGAACATGTAGTGAACGGGACTGTACAACATGTCGAGTTGTTGATACATTCCATACATTCTTATAATAAAGGTCAACTTACCATGCTGCCGGGGAGTATCCATTAAAAGGACCTCCTGATCAGCCTCTGTAACTCTTCTGCCATGGTTGTTACAGTTTTGGTTTAGATCCTCACACCCAACACCTTGAAGGGTCCCAGTTGCTCTTGAATGCTGGGTCATGTCAACCTCTGTGTTCTAGAGAGGAGACATTAACCAATATAGATCTTAAGTTTATTGTGTATTGGCTTACTTATCTTCAGATTCCTTCTTATACTATATTGCCAAATGTAAATGAATCTGCTTTCATTCTCCCAGTCACCTCAGGCTCCATGATAGCCAACAGGTCCTGCCAGTCGAGCTCCATTTCCAAGAGAGGGTTACCATGGTGGTTAATTTGGGACAGCAAGGGCTCTCTGCCTGGTGACTGATGCTCCAGGTCTTCCCTTCTACCCTCAACATCATGTAACTAAGGGGAAACAAGTAAGAACAATGATGAGTACTTTTTAAGGTCATGGAGGACATACAATGGACTGAAGAGTAGAGAAGAGGCTGTACCTGTTGTTCTTCTGTCAAGGGAAACGTTTCTTCTAACAGCCTCAAACACTCTTGGATTGAGGAAGAAGTCTGAAAATAGAGGAGAATAAATACAGATTTAGATTTAAATAAAAAATAAATAAACAAGGAAGATGAATTGCATTTGACTTAATGGCAGCTTTGACCAGCTGGGAGACTCTAACAAAGATTTTAGGCGGTAAGGCTCAAGGGGTGGCTATGACCGTAAATGGGTGGATCGGAGACTGGTTTTGACTCTCATTTTTACAACAACGATCATAAGAATTGGCAAAATATTGTGGAAAGACATGTAGCATCTATAAAGGGTGATTCCTACTGCTATGTTGAACCAATATGGTGAACATGGTAAACACTAAACACGCTTCAGCTGTCTGAATGTCGGAGTGCATGCATCAGAATGCAAACGTTTGGGACACAAGTTATCCCCACTGAAGTCCATTATCAGTATGAATGCACCACAGGCTTCACGTTTCCACATCACATTTGTGTAAGTTGTGTAATGTACAGTGGGGCAAAAAAGTATTTAGTGAGCCACCAATTGTGCAAGTTCTCCCACTTAAAAATATGAGAGAGGCCTGTAATTTTCATCCTAGGTATACCTCAACTATGAGAGACAAAATGAGAAAACAAAATCCAGAACATCACATTGTCTGATTTTTAAAGAATTGATTTGCAAATTATGGTGGAAAATAAGTATTTGGTCAATAACAAAAGTTAATTTGCAAATCAATTCTTTAAAAATCAGACAATGTGATGTTCTGGATTTTGTTTTCTCATTTTNCTCCCTTTCCTTGTTTTAGAAACAGCTTTTAATATCCGTTAAGCTAACCAGATGCTAACAACAACAATGCAAATAGTGAGTTTGGTAGAAATATACTGTATAGGCCTAATAGTAGAGTTATTGAAGATGATGCCATATTTATTGAAGATTTTACATTATAAATATTCCCCAAAATTATTCAAAAGCATATTCTTCCAAACTCCTTGCTGTAGTATGACACACAGGAGACTATGTGTGTGGTGAGTTTGGTAGTAATAAGCTGTATAATAGTGATTGAATATTATTGTATTCTCTTTTTTCGGAGTTGCACTTTGCAGACGGTCCCTGAGTACTCGTTTCTTCTCCGGCTGCGGATAGAGACCAATGTAATGTGTCCAGCTCGGAGGACGGCGCGTATTGGCTTTTTTTTTAAATCAAAATGTGATTGTAGTTCCTTG